TGAAGAAAAGACATTATTTTAGTGTTATTTCTGCCTCTTCTTTCTCGTTTTGCTCCTTAACAATTTTGCTCTACATTACTGCTGGGTGGTAGACAAAGTTAGTGAAAGTAAAACCAATAATCTAGTTAGCTACTAGCCATTTAAATGCATTCTTGAAGAGGAAGTATTAATAGATTGATCATACATGAGCTTAAAATACTTTTATATCTTTATGAAAAACAATTAGACATATTTTATTGATTTTAAAGCAAAAAATCAGAAAAGGATTGTGTGAAAAGTAAAATGAATATAGCATAACTGCCTTATAAAGTATGAAAATACAATGCAAAAAGATAATTTCTGGTTGGGTGCAGTGGCTCACACCTGTAATCCCAGCATTTAAGGACACCAAGGAGGGCAGATCACTTGAGACCAGCCTGGTCAACATGTAGAAACCTTGTCTCTAAAAAAAAAAAAAGTAAGAAAGAAAGGAAAAAGGGCCGGGCACGGGTAGCTAACACCTGTAATCCCAGCACTTTGGGAAGCTGAGGCAGGTGGATCACAAGGTCAGGAGTTTGAGACCAGCCTGGCCAATATGGTGAAACCCCGTCTATACTCAAAATACAAAAATTAGCCAGGTGTGATAGCGCACCTGTAGTCCCAGCTGCTTGGGAAGCTGAGGCAGAAGAATCGCTTGAAGCTGGGAGGAGGAGGTTGCAGTGAGCCAAGATTGTGCCACTGCACTCCAGCCTGAGTGACAGAGTGCGACTCTGTCTCAAAATTAAATAAATAAAAAGAAAGACAATGTCCAAGGCACTTCAGTTCAACTAAAACCTTTCATCACCTGAATGAAAAATTGGGAACGTGTTTTTTGCCTTTAATTTTGAACTCATTTAGTAAAATGACAAAATGTCAATCCCTTTGTTACATATAGTAAAGCAGGATACTTTATATTGGTTCATTGTGTCATGTTTGTTCATTTGAACAAGTGTAACTTGCAGGTGAAAATGCTTGTAGGGGCCTGGTAGAGTTATTTGAAAGAGAGACACTTAAGTACAGAGCAGTTGTATTAACAGTTTATATTAGTTTAAAATGTAGTTTATGTATAAATAGAAAAGAAAGGAATACTTTGGTAATGAAACCATTAGATTTGTTTGAAAGCAATTAAAGACATAATGAGAAAGATTGTGGGGATGAGGAAGAAGAGTAGATAGCATTTTTATCATTTATGTATGTACTTATTTATTTATTTTGTTAAAAGACAGGGCCTCACTATGTTGCCCAGGCTGGTCTCAAACTCCTGAACTCAAGTGGATCTACCTGCCTTGGCTTCCCAAAGTGCTAAGATTACAGGCATGAGCCACCATACCCAGCCATGGAGATAGCATTTTTAAAGTTAGACTATAAAACCATACTCATTATTGTGTGGATAATTTATCTTGGATGAGTAGAGGATGTCCACATTCTTTCCCTACTAAGAAATTAGATGAGGTAAGTAACTCCATTAAAAGAAATTAGAAATAACTAAACGTTCTTCTTTTAGTTTCTTACAATGAAAATGTAATCATAGTATCTTCTGAGAGTAAAGAGGTGGGATTGGGGCTCTTTTAGGTACCGCTCCATACATTTCTCTGTTCCATTTTCTATAAGTAAGCGTTGTATTTGTCATTATGTTTAAGCACCGGGAAATCATTGATCGTAGGTTAAGAGTCAAATAACTGATGCTTATCATGAATCCATTATTATTGTTTTTTTCAAATTTAAATGATAGTTTCTCTTTTAATACAGTTTTTTTTAATTACCTTCAAACTTTGTCATTATCTGAGTGTCAGACTTACCTATGATGTTGGTATGTGTGTGTATGTGTATGTGTGTATTTAAATATGTATCATATGACTGGATATTCTGAATATATCAATTGAGAAATATATTTGAAGAATGAATAAATAAAACAATTCTGGAAATTATTTTAAAAGAAAATGTAATGATAAATTTTTTTTTTTTTTTTTTTTTTTTTGAGACGGAGTTTCGCTCTTGTTACCCAGGCTGGAGTGCAATGGCCCGATCTCGGCTCACCGCAACCTCCGCCTCCTGGGTTCAGGCAATTCTTCTGCCTCAGCCTCCTGAGCAGCTGGGATTACAGGCACGTGCCACCTTGCCCGGCTAATTTTTTGCATTTTTAGTAGAGACGGGGTTTCACCGTGTTGACCAGGATGGTCTCGATCTCCTGACCTCGTGATCCACCCGCCTCGGCCTCCCAAAGTGCTGGGATTACAGGCTTGAGCCACCGCGCCCGGCCATGATAAATGTTTTAGAGTAGCTTGCCCATTTTTTTTCTGTAATACTTTTTAGGTTAACGAGAAGTTGCTCAATTATTCTATTTTTATACACTATACATTTTATTCCTCTGAAATGTTTGGCAGCTCCAACAAGAAGCAGTTGCTAATTTTAAGCAGGAAATCTAAACAGCTAATTTTTGAAAAAAATTTTTGTATTGTTATACTCTCAAATTGTGCAGGACACAAATAGGCATCCGGCACAATTTAAGGAGTGTATAGCAGTTTCATAGAATAAGCAGGTTACCCTGTTTTATGGTCTGTTTGGAAAAATAGAGCCATCAGATCCCAAATGCCTAATCTCAAGGAGTACAGTTTTTATGTTGTGTTACTGTCATACCCAGATTTAAATCCAGCCATCCTTAACAACCAACGATAATTAATAATTTTTCTTTGTGTACAAGCTGAGTAGAGATTTTATTCTTTCTGAAGTACTCTGAAAAACTAAAGGATGTTTTTAAAAATTGTAATTTTAGGCCAGCATGTTGCTCATGCCTGTAATCCTAGCACTTTGGGAGACCAAGGTGGGAGGAATGTTTGAGCCCAGGAGTTCACGACCAGCCTGGGCAACTTAGCGAGACTCCATCTTGAAAACAAAAAAAAAAGATAAAAACTGTAATTTTATTTGCATGGTTCCACCATCCTTTTCTTTGATATAAAGAACATAAAACAAAGTCATTTTTCTTTTTTCTTAAAACAGAGTAGAAATAGTGATAACTTTAAACTATTTATTATTTGGGGAAATGTATTAGGATTCTCTAGAGAAACAGAACCAATTGGATGTTCATATACAGAAAGAGATTTATTATAAGAAATTGGTTTACATGATTATAGTGGCTTGGCAAGTCCAAAATCTGTAGTTGGGCTGGCAGGCTGGAGACTCAGGAGAGCCAGTTGTGCAGATAAAATCTGATGGCTGTCTGCTGGAGTATTCCCTTTTGCTTGGGACAGACTAGTCTTTGTTCTGTTAAAGCCTTCCACTAATCAGATGGGGCCTACCCACATTATGAAGGGCAATCTGCATTAATCAGAGTTCACGGATTTAAATACTAATCTCATCTAAAAACACCCTCCAAGTTGCCACATAAAATTAGCTATCATAGGGAATATTTTAATATTGCTGAAATGTAAATCTTTCTTCTTGTGGAGTGGTGGCTATTCAGTACTGTCTTTAGATTTAAGCATGGAGAGCCTTTCTCAGATTCTGCTTTTTAGAGGGTCATGCTTTTGTCCATATTCAGTCACATACCTCACCATAGGGCAAGAAGACCAAGGGGCCAAAGTTATAAACTCACCAGGAGGTATGCCCTCATTCTAGACCACATCCTGGCTACCCAGGATCCCAGAATGCTCTGCCCAGACAGCTTCAAGCCTGTTTCTGGGGCCTGTGTAGAAACCAGGCCACACGTCTCCCCAGGTCCACGCTCCTAACTCTGTAGACTTCGTACCCACTGATACTTCTGCAGGGGCAAGTGGGTGGCTGTTTGAAGGTAAAAGGTGCCTAGATATGTGGGCTACTAAATTTCTACCCATCTGCAGATGAGACCCTTGCAATGCAGAAAGGAGCCTGGAATAGAGAGAGAAGTGGAGTGGGATGAGGGCCTCTTTTCCTTCCTCTGCCACATCCAGACACATGTCTTTAAGGTGTCTGGAATCCTAAATGAGAGCTTCTTGGTCATTATAAAGGTATTTCTATCAAGGTAGTAGGATGGAATGCATTTAACATATATATTAATCACTCGTTAGCCTGAGTAATTGTAACTTTTAAATATTTAGATGTATATTTGTACCTCTGTCCCAGACTTACCAAACATTAGAGGCAGGTATTTCCTATGTATTGAAGGTCAGCAAATTCAGAGAATTAGAAGTTAATTACCAAATTTGAAATCTGAAAAGTATGTTATAAAATCAGGGTAGGGTAGGGTAGGGTAGGGTAGGGTAGGGTAGGGTTATCGGTACGAAGGAAGGAATCATAGTTGGGGAGGGACCTGGCAGGTTTCATTTCTCTGCTTGGATAGTGGTTAAAATAGATGTAAATTCTAATGATTCTTTAAACTAAATAGTCTTTGTGGCTTATTCTCTATGGAAAATGGATCTTCCAATGAAATGTTGAAAAATATTGTTCTTCATTATGGGGGAAAAAAACTGTCTCAGAAAAATATTTCTCCAAACTTGTCTGTTTCAAGAACCTTGGCCCAGCCAAGGTTCTATTTATTCAAGAATAAATAGAAACAATAATTTAAAATTCTAGAAGCCAGATAAATTTTATAGCATGTGTGTGTGCTTGAACAAGCATATATATTTTAGTGTGTGTGTGTGTGTGTGTGCATGTGCATGTGTGTGTGCGCGCGTGCATTTAATTTTTACTTTCAAGACATCAGCTGTGGAAGCAATTGAAAGAAAACCTCTCTTCTCATTCCTGGCTGCAAGGCCTTTAGTGGATTCCATGGGTTAAGATAAAAAATATTTTCAAGTATTTTTATTTTACTCTAACTCTGTGGTTTATCTGAAAGAATGAACAATGATAATAAAAAGCAAAGGGGAGTATTATACCTTTTTCAGGTTAGAGATCCATTGTGTGTAAACTTTGTTCTCTAATTTTGTGAAAAAAAAACTTTTCTGGATGCACTTTCCACATATAAATATTTATTGTAATAGAGATTCTTTCCCTGTTTTTATTTTCAGGTATCATCTTCACCGAATAAAGAAAGTAATAAAGAAGGTATAGTATATTTTGGTTTGGGAAGAGTGAGGTGTATAAATATGTTTGTTTACAGTAGTGGAAGCCAAAAAAATAAAATGAAATAAAATAAAATAGATTAATTTAAAAGCTAAGTGAAGTATTTTTAAAATATTTTAAAATTTTAGATGAAATGTTTTCTCAGAAAATGAGGAGAAAGCATTTAACTACTTTTCTAGGCTAGAAAATAATTTGACTTTGCAGTGACTTTTTTTGGTGAAGTACTGAGATATTCAGCCAGTTCTGATAAATTTAATTTTAAAAGACCTAATTTAAAACTCTTACATTCAGATATTTATCTTATCATTTTAATTAATTACTTACTTTAGCTGAAGATCTTAAATCAAAACCTATACCGTTGTAGGATTAGAAATACAGTATTTTTATTACCATTATTTGAACCCATTTTAATAAACAAGTAGAGCTCTGTAGTGAAATTTTCAAAATTTAAGCATGTGCACCTATCATTTGTCTTTCAAAATATTGCAAGGTTTTTGGCTGTTTGTTTTAATATAAAATATTAAAAGAATATTCAACTTGCAAATTTGGAAGAAATATGAGAACTTTTTACTGTGAGTCAAGTATGACATGTTTAGAAAGGAGTAAATCCATAGACATGATTTCATGGGAAAGCAAACTATATTCCTTATATGGTAAGCTAACAAATTGTTTCTTTGCAATACTATCCCATTTAGGGTATTTGGGGGTAGTCAAATTTTACAGTACAGGCTCTTTCTAAACCTTTCATGCTGTAGCACTTTTGTGTTGTCTGCTAGAGACTAAAATGACCCAGAAATATACAAGAAACAAAGTAGGAAGGCTCTAGAATTTTTAATGTAGTCTTATATAAGGCTTGGGACTAATGAGAGAACTTGAGACAACAGTTTAAAGGGAAATACCTTTAAATAGAGAAATGCAACTTTAAATAGAGAACTTATAACTGTTTGTATCTGCCTAAATACTTTCTAAAAGCCTAAATTAAATTTATTTAATCCCTCCCTCCTCCCGCCTTCTTTCTTTTATCCCTTCCCTAATGCCCTCTTTCCCCATTTTAAATGTAGAGCAAGTGTGGCACTTCCTTGGCAAGTGATTGGAACATTTGAAATTCTGCTGTCAAGATTCCAGTCTCTAAGGACTTCAAGACTCTTTTTTTTCCCAAGTGCCAGAGACAAGGCGGGTCTATGAGAATTTACTGACTTCTGTCGAAACTTCATTTTTTTTCAAACCTTTTGAGATATGCAATATATAAATGAACAGCAAGATTTTTGAATTACTCTCCTTTGGACATTTATTGATATTTTGTTTAATTTCCTAGCACAAATTTAGAGGCATTGAGTTGACCATTTCTAGTTTCTATACCTAAAGGAACCCAATGATTTTATTAGTTTTTCTTTCTATAGACTGGATGTAAAAATCACAAATTCAATAAATTTAAAAAATTTGTGTAGATGACTGTTACTTTCCTTTTCATACTACATTATTCTTTTTCAAGTCCATTGCTGATAGAGGCTTTAAATATTTAGCCAACCTCTATTTTTTTATTAGTGCCTGTGTAAATGTGTTACATTTATTAAGGGTCCTTCCTGTAATTTATTGTTTTGGAAGTCCTAATATCTTTTTTTATTCTGATTCATTCCCCTTATGGTGATGACTCTGAGGATGACTCTCATTACCTCTGTGGGATGACACTCTCTGGTGATGATTCCTTCTATGGTGGTGACCTCTATAGCGATGACTCCCAAATCTCCGTAAGAAGCCCAGGTCTGTTTCTAGGGTCTGCCTATTGGTCATCAGTTTAAATGCCTTTGACTTCTCTTGTCCAAACCTGAATTCATCTTCACTTGTACATATGCTCCTCTCTTCTTGTTCCTGAACAATGAAATAACTTTCTCTAGATCTTCCACTTGAAGACTTGAAATCATATGGAACCCTTCTTTACTCATGAAGATAATCTAAATGTTTATTTGTTGTCCTCATTTGTTGATACCCCTACTCTGTTGGTTTTCCCTTACTTCACTAGACTCTTGTTAACAGGCTCCTATCTCTTCTCCATGATGTTAAGATCCAGCTCCTTCGCCTTATCCCCATTGCTATGGATCAGTATCATGAACTCTTACCTCCTAACCAAGCGGTTGTCCTGCCTCCAACTTTTCTCCCTTCATTCCATCTTCTACATTTCTAAACGGTGATTTTTCTAAAGCATAGATCCTATTTTATTATCCTTTTCTCAAAATGCCATTTCTAGATTCTTGATAATAAAAATCAGACTGCCTCCTTTAGTCAGGAAACCCATCCTGTGGCCATACAATGCTGCTCACTCCTCAAACACATCTTAAACTCTCGCATTCTTAATACTGCACTTCTCTTTTACCGGTTCAGTCACTAGTTTTTCTCCCTTCTTCTATATATCATCATTAACAAATTACATTTAAAGTGCTTTGTGATTTACAAAGCACTATTATGATAACAGTTATTGTTTACTGAGCATCTATTGTATATCATAAGCACCGTTTTGGATACTGTGTGTACATATACCCTATATGCCTCATACTTGAGGCTCTGAGAAGTTCTATAAATTGCCCAGGGTCACACAGGTAGTTCAGTTTCAGAGCCCAGATTAGAACCCATGACTCTGACGCTAAATGGTTTTTTCATCCCTCTGTGCATGCAGTTTCTCACATACAACTGCCTTGTAATATAGGCAAAGTTCAGAGCACTCCAATTTCATAGATAAGAAAATAGGTGCAGAGAATTTAAATGATTATTCCAGGAGTAAATATTCTCTCGAAGTGTTTTTGGTAATATATGAACCTCTTTGAGGGCCAACAACGAGTGTAAGAGAAGAATGAGTTCTTTTTACTTTTGTTGATATATTAAGTTTTTAAATTGTGAAAATGAAACTTATAGAAAGATAGAAAATAGAGTACTACTATTGCAAGAGTTGTAAAGAGTAAGCTGGACTTATCAAGGGATAGATAATGGATTTATGGCATGTGGCATGTTAGTGTCTCGAAAGTTGGAAGAGATAAGCTGTGTTTGGTGGTCCTCTTGTGGGACAAGGCACAGGTAGATTTGTCCCCCCTCCTCCTCACAGTTGGTAGTACTTGGATGCTACCTAGTTAGTGAACCTTGCTAGACAGGTAAATCCATTTGATATGGTTTAGATGTTTTGTCCACTCCAAATCTTATCGTGAAATATAATCTCTATGGTAATGAATAAGTTCTCACTGTATTACTCCATTTTTCTGCTGCTATAAAGAACTGCCTGAGACTGGGTAATTTATAAAGGACAGAGGTAACTTATAAACAAAAGAGTTTTAATTGACTCCCAGTTCCACATGACTAGGGAGGCCTCAGGAAATTTACAATTATGGCAGAAGAGGAAGCAAACACATCCTTCTTTACATGGCAGCGGGAGAGAAAGTGCAGAGCTAAGGACAGAAAAGTCCCTTATAAAATCGTCAGATCTTGTGAGAACTCACTACCAGGAGAACAGCATGGGGAACCACCCCCATGATCTAATCACCTCCCACAGTCTTCCTCCCCTAACATGCAAGATTACAACTCAGATTACAATTCAATGTGAGATTTAGGTGAGGACACAGCCAGACCATATCACTTGCTTTGGTAGTTCACATGAGAGCTCACATGGGAGAGCCTGGCAACTCCCATTCTTGCTCTGTTGCACCCACCCTTTCTTGCCTGTTCTCTTACCGTGTGACACACTTGCTCCTCTTTTGTCTTCTGTCACGATGTAAGCTTCCTGAGGCCTTCACCAGAAGCTGAGCAGATGTTGGGACTGTGCTTATACAGCCTGCAGGACTATGAGCCAAAATAAACCTCTTTTCTTTATTAATTACCCAGCCTCAGGTATTTCTTTATAGCAACACAAAAACAAACTAATATACCAACTGTCTACATTACTCCAGTTAATCATAATTATCTTCATAGTATGTGATGTTACATAATAATAACCTTAGTATAGAATTTTGAAAATGTTTTAAATTATAAGCATCTTTCTATGTTGCTACATAGTCATCATTATTATGATGACAATTACATTTCATTGAGTGGCTCTTTCATGATTGTTTCAGAATGTCTTCCAGACTAATTTAATTTTTGCCAGTCCAATCCCATGGAACGAATTGAATAGATACTATACTAAATACTTTTAAAGGAAAACTACTGGGAAAATACAGAGCAAATCATTGTTTAAACTGCCTAAAACAAATTAGGAAACTGAAATTGACCCATAGATGCAATTTTAAGTAGTACCCACAGCCAGTCCCATGAATGTGAAAAAGTAAAGGGGGTGGAGTATCCAAGCATCACTCTCAAACTTGCTGTTACTACAAATATCTGAATTTTTTATGAGCTTTAATTTATTGTTCACATAAGACAGTCATTTCATATATGATATATTTAGTAGCATTTATTCAGTCTACAGAGGAGCACTTAAAGTCTGTTCCGCCATCGATGACTACATGCATTTTTAGCAGTTATGTGCTTATTAATAACATGATGATTTAGTTTCAGAAGTGGGTTTCATTGTCTTGCCATAGGTCAAGGTATATCTTGCCACTACTAGTTTATCTTTACTTATTATAGTATCTTATAATGTCTTACATCGTGAATCAAATCTTTAAATTCTGGTTAGCTTCTATTATTTTCATCCTTCTTTCCATATGCTGTTTTATCAGTGGGCTCTATGAAATACCAGCATCAAAATCACTAAGAATGCTTCTTAAAGTACAAATTCCTGGGATTCCCTAAAGATCTATTCAACTTTGGGAGGCCAAGGCAGGCGGATCACGAGGTCAGGAGATCGAGACCATCCTGGCCAACATGGTGAAACCCCATCTCTACTAAAAAATACAAAAATTAGCTGGGTGTGGTGGTGCATGCCTGTAGTGCCAGCTACTTGGGAGGCTGAGGAAGGAGAATTGCTTGAACCAGGGAGGTGGAAGTTACAGCGAGCTGAGATTGCGCTACTGCACTCCAGCTTGGTGCCTGGCAACAGAGACTCTGTCTCAAAAAAAGAAAAGAAAAGAGATCTATTCAATCAGAATTTCTGGGGTAGGGCCACAATCATTTTTCTTTCCCTCCATGACTCTTATTAAAGTTTTAAACCCATTAGCTTAGATCATATTGGGAATATTTCAGTGTTAATGTTCTGTTTGAGTTTATCTCCCTGCTAAGAAGTGGAGAAAGAAAATGAGATGTCTGCTTGTGTAGTGGATTCATACAAAGAATATTATCATTATCTCTTGTATAAAAAAAATGAAGGGGGAGTAAAAGTTGCACTAAGTTTAGTATTAAACATTAAATGTGGTTTAGGTTAAAAGTTAAAAATTTTCTTGATGAGAATAACTTCATTTTCTAAGTTACCAAACTGTGTTAGATAAAGTAAGCCCATATAATTGGGCTGTTTATCAGCCCCACACCCAGTCTTATGCCTTCCTAGGACGCAATGAGAGATAAGCCTCTGTTTCTGATGTGGCAGCCCTGGAGAAGTTAGAGCAGTAAAGAGATGGCTTTGCTCTAACAGAGGAGGAGGAGACAGTGGTGGCCACGGAAGATAGAAGAGCTTTGTAAAATGTGCGAGCCCTAGTCACAGATTAAGGTTTCTGTGGTTGACCTGACATTTACCCTGTTCTGATGACCTGTTAGGACCAGACTCCACTTCTCAAATTATGCCCCTCTATAATATGACTAGTAGCCCATTGCAGTCAGGAAGGAAGGCATAGTCTGTTCTTTCCTTCAGTCAAAACATACTTACTGCGCTCTCTTTATGCCAGATCCAACAATGCATCTGTCAACCTTAATCTGAATAACAAGACTCTAAAAGGATCCTTTTTCACCCTGAGAGGAAAAATGTCAGTGTTTCTTCTCAAAGAATACCTGATACATAGATAGTTGGGGCTCTTTCTCCTCTTTTGAGTACCTGGCTACAAAAGATTGAATCAGGCAGAAACATAAGAGGGATCCATTCAGAAGCTGTGCCATTACAATGATTTTACTTAGCAAGTCTGCTATTTTTAGACATGATTTATCATTTATGCTTTTGTAAAATTCATTTAGCCATTACTTATTGAGAGCCTATGTGTATGTGCCAGGTGCTATTATTTTAAGTTTTTAGCATACATGAGTACGAAACACACAAAATCCCTGCTGTTGTAAAACTTGCATTTTGTGTGGGAAAGCATATCATAAACATAATAGTTTGTCTGATATGTAATACGAAGAACAGAGTAAGGAGAAATTGGGAATCCAGGTTGAGTTCAGGGGTAAGAGTAGTGAATTAAATTTTGAATTGAATAGGTCAAGGCGGGCCTCATTGGGAAGATGACAGCCGAGCAAAGTGGTAAAGAGAAGCAGGAGTGAGCCTATGTGGGTCTCAGGCTAGAGCATAGAAGTGGCAAGGCCAAGAGCAAGAGTTCAAGAACA